CGCTGGGTCGCCGTCTTGGGGTACGGTATCATTGCTATTAGTCTGTTCTGCTTCGTCCAGGCCCGCGATGTTTATCCTAGCTTGGTCATTGCGCGGATTGCGTTTGCGCTGGGCGCTACGGCCGCGGCGACTATGGTTACGGCTATTTTGCCCGTGCTTACGAATGACGAGAAGGTGGATGCGGATGGCGAGGATAGTTATGATGGAGAGGACGGGGAGAATGGGGATTCTGCAAGCGTTGGTAGTTCGGCCTCGAGCCGGAAGTCGAGTCATCATCAGAGGGATAGCGTGGCTATGAGTCTTGAGAGCGACGCTACGATTACCCCGGAGATTTTTACCCAGAACTTATCGCGTAATCGGAGGGGCAGCGATGATTCGGGGGGCTCTTCTGACACATATGGTAGCGTTGAGAGTAAAGGTGGCAGACCATCAGCTCTCGCAGGATATGTAGGCTTGTTTACAGGCTGCGGAGCTTTAGTCGCTCTATCTCTTTTCCTACCGCTGCCGACCCGATTTTCCAGGAAAGAGGGCGTTACGCCCGCTCAGGCCATCACGCATAGTTTCTATGTAGTTGGCGCCGTCGCATTAGTCGTAGCCGTCTTCGTATTCTTCGGCCTCCGCGGTCTACACGGCGAGGAAGGCAAGGGCTGGCGCATGCTTCTTGATCTGCGCAGGCCGCAAGACGCCATGGGGCCTAATGGTTCCCCTGCAGGGATTTCTTCTTCGTCACCTAGACCGGTACCATATCGTAAGCTTTTGATCTCATCGCTTCGTCTCGGTGCGACAGACCCGCATATTGCATTAGGATATTTGGGGGGCTTCGTGGCGCGAGCGAGCACTGTCGCTATCTCGCTTTTCATACCGCTCTACGTGAACGTATTCTTCATCGGCAACGGGTACTGTCGTGGCTCACCGAATGACCCGTCGCCCGACCTCAAAAAGGAATGTCGCGCCGCGTATGTCTTAGCCTCGATTTTGACCGGTGTCGCGCAACTTGCCGCCCTACTTTGCGCGCCTATATTTGGGTATGTCAGCAGGAAGAGCAACGGGGTTAATCTACCCCTTGTATTCGCCTCCCTACTTGGTGTCGTGGGATGGATCGCGCTCCCGCGACTCCAGAGCCCCGAGTACGCAAATGTGAGCGACCGCGGCGGAAGTCCGGTTGTCTTTTTGGTGATGATACTCGTCGGCATTAGCCAGATCGGTGCCATTGTGTGTAGTCTTGGGTCCCTAGGCCGTGGTGTTCTGGCTGCCGACGTACCTGTCGTATCTAATGACGAGGAAGGGAATAGGATCTCACAGTCCAACGACGCTGAGACAGACGCCCTGTTAGGACAGGATGCTGGTGGAAGTAGTAGCAGTAATATTAGTCCCCGACGAAAGGAGAGGGTACTAGTATCCCGCGTGCAACTTAAGGGCTCTATCGCGGGCGTGTACTCGTGGTGCGGCGGCGCTGCAATTCTACTCCTGACTAAACTTGGGGGCTACCTCTTCGACGTGGCATCCCGCGGGGCCCCGTTCTACATGATGGCTATCTTTAACGGCATATTGTTTGTCGCGAGCATAGCCATTGGGGTCGTCGTAAGGAGACGTAGAAGCACGAGTAGGTCGTCGAGTTCTTGAAATGGGATAGTTGTAGGATTGAAAAGAGTGGAAACGGAAAAGGGATAAGTATAATCCCTGTGAAACTTTTGCTATATAGTAACGTGGTGAGATGAACGGACACGAGTGCGAGTGAGACGGTTTTCTCGCATTGTAAAATAATCACGGCGGTAAAATTGTTTAATATACTCGTCCTAGTGTTTGATTTGATTTCGCCTCGTGGTTAGTTAATTAAGTTGTTCATCCCCATGACTCTAAAATGGGAATCAGTTTCGGCTTTAGATTTCGTTTGCGGTAAGATTTCATATAACAGGTGGTCAGCAGGTCTTAAGAAGTGGTTAGATATTTTTTCCCAACAAACTAGTAGTACGGAAGCGATATGAGTGCTGAGGGTAGAGTACGATTATTGGAACTGTATGGGATGGAATGCTCTATCAAGGAGTGATATAGCTCTAAGTAGAACAGTCCCTAAGCATATCTCAAAACCTCAAAAGATCAATATGTAATTATGTTACGGATACCCTTCGCTTTTCTCTGTTCCCAGTCCATATAAGTAATAGCCCATCTCTCACGCATGCTAACTAGCTAACCCAACGCAGCCGGCTGGTTCAGAGCCATCCTCTTAGCGACTGATCCATACTTAGCCTGCCAGGCATAGAAATACACCAGCGCAGCAAACGGCTGGCCTAAGATCGTGAACGAGACCCAGAAGATGCAATTGCCGATGAGTCGGCCATGCGGGCCCTTCATCTTCGAGAACGGCCGCGTGAACCAGATCAGCGGGATCTGGACGATCATCCCCAGAAAGGCGACTCCTGGTACTGGGTTAGCACGATCTTCGCTTGAAGTTTCGAATTGTGAAGAAAGGGCAAATGGCATACCTATGGGATTCTTGGTTGGGATACCGACTAGAAGCTCGTGTAGTATAGCCGAGACGAAGAACACGGCGATACCGGCTAACTGCATGCTCCAGCCCCTGCCTATCAAGGGCGAGAAGATGTGCCTCTTCATGAACTGATAGACGGGCTTGTTCCAGAGCCGCCAGTAATCTCCCAGGCCAGCCGAGTTCCACCAGTCGTCGTAGAAAGAGCGGTCCCCGAATCGCATGATCTCTGCCAGGGCGTTGAGCGCCGATTGGAACAGAGCAAAGAAGCCGGCCAGCCAGATGACAAGCGAGATTGTGGACAGCTTTAGAAGCCGCTCGACAATCGATACCAGGTCCAGGTGGTCTATCTTGTCAAGTGAGTTCCATAGGACCGGGGCTGCGTACTGGGCGCTGCAGAACCATATGAAGACGCTCAGACAAACCAATTCGCTGAGTCGCTTGAGGACGAAGAGCCATCTAATGTTTTCTGATCGAGGGTATACTGGCTGGTAGACGAGTGTCGGGGCCCACCAGAAGTAGGTCAGATTGCTCATCGTGATATTCTGGGGATATGGGCATTGTGCATATAGTTCGGGAAGGATACCCAACTCGCCTTTGACTGGGTGGAGATACGCGTGGCGAAGATCCCTGTTCGTAAGCGCATACGACAAGACCTTCATGCAGACGATGATGACATGAAGCTCCGTTATCGTACCAATCAGGGGGTGGTAGATGTGGAAATAGACGACCCAGCTGTGGAAAGCCAGAGCAAGAGTGGCGTTCAGGAGATGAGCAGTCCTAATGATCTTCCATTTCGACTCGAAGCTGGCCTGTTGGTCTTCCGTCGGGCTTGCGGTTCCTCCTTTGCTAGCAGATTGGGCTCGCGAGATCCGAGCCTGCTTAGCGGCGTACCATTCGAACGAGTAGGCGATGAAGAGGTGGCAAGGAACTAGTATATAGAGCAGAAAGCCCAGGAGGACATCCTGACGGCGGAAATCGTGGCACGTTATACATATCAGGTTCCCGTACTACGGTTTATGTAAGTGGGTGCTCGACCAGTGATATCCGGCTGTTTGCTAACCTTTTGCATGTTCTCTATTACCAATCGTAGATTTCCAACCACTGGAAAGAGTTAGTATATTTCCCATCTCTCGGGTAAGACAGCTGAGAAGTTATACCTAGCACGATAACCATCAGATTCCTAAACCCTAGGAAACTCGGAGTGGCCGTTGTGTCATGGCTTAGTGTAGACGGTCTCGACTCGGAGTGAATCGCGGTAACATGTCTATATTTCCTAAAAGCATAAGACTTCCTTTCTCCATTTGTACGTTCATTGGGGGCCTCGGCTGTGGCGCTGGGCTCTTTCGTAGTGTCGTTTCGTCGAGCAGTTGCTGTGCCCGTGGGGGCCTCGAGACTTGTAGTAGTAGCCGAGTCCATGATGGGTCTTGTATGATCGTAATGGATTACGTCTATGCTAGTAATGAGGTTTCGATGTAAGGGCACACCTAGGAGTTCTCAGGAGAAAGCTTCAGAACAGTTGGGGAGCTGACGGGAACTGGTAGCTACAGAGTTATCAGCGAGAGTTTCACAGAAATCTGGCCCAGGCCCTGTCCTATAGCCTCGAACTGATAGCGCCGCCTCAACATAAGCGTAATCCTTTGTGAGAATGGCTAAGACATGGTCCTAGTTGAAATTCATATCGCAATGCGGTTTCGGCCTGGCATGTATAAGAGCAAGGGTGATGTAATACCTTGGATATGAGGAGATGGCTCCGTTACGCATATGTACCTAGATAATACCTAAAGAGGGGAATGTGGCATCTTCCAGTCTCTTGTCGAATCGAATAGATCAATTGGAATAGTCACAAATGTGAAAGGTGATAATATGTAACTAGAGAAAGATGTATGTAGGTCCAATTAAAGACATGCCATGATTAATATTTGAAGGCAGACCACGGAGTCCCTGGTCGAACCTTGAGCCTATTTTAATCCTCCAAGAGAAAATCGTACCGAGCTGCGAGTGAACCAATGAGTATCGCCATTATTGCATCAGAAACCCTGTCGATCAAGGTCTGTGGGGACAGGTATTCTTTGTGATTGGATCGTATCTCTGTATATACGTATGTAGGTATATACAAAATAGAAGGATCGTATAAGAAATGAATAACAGGTAGTTACACAAACAAGAAAGAGAAGATCATAAAAGAGAAGAAAAATTAGTCGGCCCAGAGCTGGGGTCTAGGATAGACAACGTTGATGTAACATCAATTGACATGTGAAAGAAAGAAGGAAATTCATTCTCGTCAGTTTGGTAAGACAGGCGAATGCCAAATTCGTAGCTGGCAAGTACAAGTTCCGAGACTTCCATCAGTGGAAATGAAGATGCCCCACTAAAAGTAGCTATGTAGCTACATTAGGTAGGTACCTAGGTACTCTTTGAACGGATTAGCCCACTGTGGCTCAACTAGCTTCAGCCGCAGCCTTCCATTGAGGCGCAAGCTTCCCTTGTCGAAATTACCTGCAGATGGACGTTCATTGTTCGCGTCCTTAGGTCCTTAGGTCCTTAGGTAGTCCCTTTCATCCCAAGCTCACCCAAGCTCACCCAATCATCAATAATTTTAATCGACCACGACACATACCTCTAAATACCGAGTCCAGTTAATCTGTTCTTAATATTTGATTTCCTACACGAATGTAGCTATAGCCGACTATGGCATACGATCCCCGTGGCGATCATGGCGCGCCGGGCGGAGGTCATGAAGCTGGCAACTTTTCAAGGGCTAGAGGTCGACGTGAGTATTTTGATAGTAGATTACGATTCCTCTCAAGCCATGGGTGTCCCTCGTTTGAGGCGTTTCATATTTGATGACCTCTGTTAAGGCTTAAATGGGTGTTTGATTTGACTCTCCGACACGTCTTTTGAGCCTACTCATTTTCATCTATGTCCATTGGTGTATTAATGCTTTGCCGTAGGCCCTGTCACCGATTATGGCTCTACAGTTGCCCATTGGATGCGCAATCGCCAGCCGCGATTCAAAGGCGCCTTTAGAGGCGAGGTTGAACGGCCTAGTGCTAGCTACATCGTCGACGTGAGTTCAACACAAATGAGACTTTGTTAAATAAACTAAACCATATCTAGATGCTCCCACCCCTGGCAAGAGTTACTAATCCCGCCGACTCTGTCCCTACAAAACATCTTCATTCATCGTTGAATAAAATTAAACACCCAGTCAATGTTGTACGATGGACTCCGGAAGGCCGTCGATTATTAACTGCCTCAAGCAGTGGCGAGTTTACGCTATGGAACGGTACTGGATTCAACTTTGAGACCATCATGCAAGCTCACGATGTTGCTATCCGGGCCTTAGCTTACTCGCATAGTGACGACTGGTTAATATCAGCTGATCACGACGGTATTATCAAGTACTGGCAGCCTAATTTTAACAACGTGCAAGTGATCCAGGGCCATCACGACCCTATTCGAGATCTTGCTTTCAGCCCTAACGATTCCAAATTTGTTACGGCATCTGATGACTCCTCTCTCAAGATCTTTGATTTTGCTGGTGGTGTTGCCGAGTCAACACTACAAGGCCATGGCTGGGACGCTAAAAGTTGCGACTGGCATCCTACAAAAGGACTGATCGTTTCGGGATCAAAGGACCATCTAGTCAAGCTCTGGGACCCCAGAACCCAGCGTTGCCTGACCACTCTCCATGGCCATAAGAATACCATTACTAAGACATCATTCGAGCGTGTCATGGGCTGGTGTCTTGCGACTTCAGCGCGAGACCAAACAGCGAGAATATTTGATATACGAATGATGCGAGATATCTGTCTTCTTAGAGGTCACGAGAAAGATATTTCAACGCTTGCTTGGCATCCAATTCACTCGAATCTACTCAGCACCGGAGGTAACGAAGGTTCTTTATTCCATTATATACTAGATGAACCGAACACCCCGGCGGGGCAGGCCATCAGCACGGCAGTTTACGAGAGCCCAGATCCGTTGACAGCACCTGCGCAGTCCATATATCCAATGCACAAGGTCCCCTATGCTCATGACTTCGCAATCTGGTCCCTTGACTGGCATCCTCTCGGCCACATCTTAGCTTCGGGCTCAAACGATCGTATCACTCGGTTCTGGTCTCGTGCTCGGCCTGGCGAGACAGATATCTTTCAAGATAGATATCATATCGGCGAGACAGCTGCGGAAGCTCAAGGAACTTGGGATCGACGCGGCGGTCGTCGTCAACGTCAAGAGGAAGAAGAACAGGAGCTTGAGGATGAAGCAGAAGGTTTGGTTGATCAGAAGATGCCGCTTAGGCAGCCGGCATCTGCTTTCCCAGGTCTTCCCGGTCTCTCTTTGCCAGCTAACGGAATTCCACCTCCGCCTCCTCAAATCCCCGGAGTCGGTGCTATGTCTGCGCCAACTACAGTACCACCTCTACCGTTCCCAATCCCTGGCGCGGTTGGTGCTCCACCTCCACCGCTCCCGGGTGGTTTGGATCCGAATAACCCAGCCGACTTTGCCAAGATAGCGGAGATGATGCAAAAAGCCGGCTTACCTCCTCCCCCACCTCCCAACATGCTCCCACCGGGTTTATTTCCGCCTCCGAATTTCCCAATGCCACCCGGGTTTCCGCCCCCTCCACCTTTTTCACAGGCAAGTGTTGATATGCAAGGTACCGATAGCAATGGTCGGAGAAGAGCACCCCTCCCTAGTCAGGAAGAAAGCCTACGAATGGAACAGAAAAAGGGGAATTATACTAGAGTGCGTTAGTGACCATCGAACTCTATCCTAACACCTTATAAAAACCTACTTCTATAATTTCTACCGTGTTCAGTTGATCAGGGCATCCCGCTCGAGCGGGCCAGACATTTCATTAGTCGACAAAAGGCGACGGCCCAATTCGACAAGTATGGACGAGAAAGAGCTCATTCCCAGCGGAGCGGGTAGAAGCAAATGCATGCAAGGAACACGGAAGGATGGTAGGACGTCAAGCCGTTAATCTGACCAGTTTAGAAAAGGTCAGTATTTTAACTGAGGAGGTCGGGGTCAATGGATAAGGCAATTTTCTTCTTTGTTCGAGGACGTACCGATCTAATGATGTACAATTGACAACATTACTGCATGTTTCGGGAGTAGAGCGTGTACGATGAGCATGGACGATGCCCCTTGGCCAAAAGGGCGGATACCCCAGGCGTTGAAGGCGTTGTTAGGGGAGTTTAGCTAGGTTGCGAAAGGAATGGCAATAAATTTCAAGATAACACATATCTATATCCATCTGTGCCTCATTGACATGGCTAGGTTAGCCTAGATGTGATGGTAGTGCTAATTCTAAGTCTTGGAGGTGTTCTTATGCTCTTATTTATTAACATGAAACTTTACAATATTCTCAGATGCATCGGATGATGCATTGGTGCATGCCCCTGAAGTACGATAGACTGTGGTTTAGGTTCAGTTTGGATATAAAATATTATACTATTCTAAGTTATGCTATACTATGCTATGCTATACTATCTATTCCTCACCATAGCCCAACCTGCTACCTGCCATTTGCCAAAAGGGGGACGTGTATTTGGTTTCCTCGTTAAAGTTGATGTATAGAAAGCAGTAACTAAGCTATTAGAATGAATCAATCCTCAAAACGCCACAACTCACCCTATCCCAGGAGAAGGGGAGGAAAATGCAAATGCAATGATCTCGGTAGAACCGTGCGTCCCAATAAAGTTACAAGGTATACATATTAATCTTAGATATCTAGCTCGCCTTATGTAGTTTCCAACCGTGGGTCCTTCTGCCATGACGTATGTATGTATGTAGTCTTCCATGCGTTAGATACGTACGTCATAAGCCTCGTTCAATGTTCAATTCTCTGAGATGGAAGTAAAGTCGGTAAGGTAAGGTAAGGTAAGGTAAGGTGATTCTGCGGAACGGAAAGACATGGCAACCCAGATGTCCCCAGATGTCCCCAGATGTCCCCAGATGTCGCGAATCGAGTTAAATATAGGTAGGTAGGTGGCGATAACGAGACGAGACGAAACGTCTGTCCTAGCGCTTCGCGACGGCCGAAGAAGAGCCCTGGGACTTCGCAAATGCCTTTTGCCGGTTGGCGTAGTCTTTGATGACGAGGGCGCAGGTGGCCTCTGTGCAGAGGCGCTTGCGCCGCTGGGCGGGGAGCTTGGTGGCGAATTCGAGGCCGCTGGCGCGCTCGACGGCTTCGACGGGGACTTCGAAGTCCGTGAGGGGTTTGTCGTTGGGGATGTGGGCGTTGGGCAGGACGAAGGCGCCGACGGCTACGTTGCCGCCGACGGCTCCGTCTTCTGCGAAGATCACTTTGTAGAAGTGCGTCGGGACCGCGACGTTCGGCGGGTTGCCGATGACTTCGTACCGCACGTACCATTTGTTGTCTGTGGGATCACGCTTGGGTAGATATAACGGGCCCGTGACGACGCGCACGCTGGGATACCGCGAAGTCAGTCCCCGGCAGAAGTCCTCGAAGTGCGCCCAGTAGTCCCGGTTGAAGCCCTCGCCCACCTGCGGGCACATGTTGGTCAGGAAGAAGGTCTCGTCCATAGCGGTTTGGCTCCAGCGCGCGTCGGCCGCGGGGACTTGGTGGCCTCGGTCGTAGCCCGAGCGGAAGTAGTCCTTTAGCCGCGCGCGGAACTTTTCAGGCACGGCCTCGTCCTCTAGGAATGTGCTGTGTTTGCGGTCGCCGTCTCGAATTGCTAGTGACGCTGGCGTGATGTGCTCTGCTACCCAGTGCGGGTTGCGCAGTCGGCGATCGAACGAGGAGACCAACGCTTGTCGCGTCGCGATGTCGGCTACCGGGCCCGGGAAGCCATATTCGAAGAGGCCTGTCGGGTTGACCGGTAAGAGGTTCACGGCCGCAGGGGCCGAGGTCGATAGGCCTGTGTGCGCGGCTTGCTGGTTTGGGGAAGTGAATATTTGTTTGGCGGGGATAGGGATTGGTGCAGACCCTCCCGCCGTAGGTGAGGCCGAGACGGTAGTCGTCGTTGAGGATATATTCTTGCTTTCTAGATTGCGGTCTGATCGTAACGAGTACATGGTAGCTGTAATAGCGGCTCCGGCTCCTGCGCTTACCGCTGCGATAACTGCTAACGTGGTTTTTGACATGATGGGCAAAAAGCGGACTCCCTCTAGGAGTTAGTTGGCACTCTTTTGAGTTTTATACGAAGGGAGGAATGAATACGTGAAAGAAAGAGGGCAAATGGGCGGTGCGGAAGTCAGGCGCGGTGTGTGAGCAATATGCGGCTCACGAGGGGGGTGTTGCAGTCGCCCGCGTGGTGGTGAGGCGTGCAGCAAATGTCTTAGACGGGATCTTCGAATTTTTGAGATTTTCAGCCTCGAGGTAGCGTTTAATACATAGTAGTGTTAACGAGGTGGGGGACCCCCCCTATCGATACCCTAAGTGGGACGCGGTGATTGGCCAAGATGGGGTTTATATTCTGTAAGGTACCTCCGAGGTGGGCACGGACCATCAGTTTATTATTTTAAGTCAACCAACCCGTTCCTTTCCTCGTGCAGCTCGTGGCACCCGATGCACCTGCAGACCTGTCAACTTTACCTATGTAGTGTACATGTTCCCCTTCAGCCCTAAAACCAAAGATAGACTTACCTCCATCACATGGCAGAGTACATACATCCCGAGTACCATCCATGCTTATAATTTGTGAGATTCAGTACGAAACACAAAGTACCATATCTGTATGTACCAATAGCTTTTCGGCACTTCTCAACTTCAAACCATGACGTCACCTAACCCAAATACCTGCCTAACATCCAACCCCGTGCTGGCAAATCAAATGATGCTCTTCAATGAATATAGGTAAGCGGTTTGATTTAGAATTTACAGGCACGTTACATTCATCGTCCGAATCAAACCGAAGAGATAAAGCTAAAAATATGTAGGATATACTGATATATTCCATTCGTTACCTAGTAGAGGTATATGTTCATGTCTATGTATCTAATACTGGCTGACTACGCTATAGTCGTTTATATGTAAGCCCGTATCCAAATAAGTCATTTCTGAGGGTATACAAAGAACCACCGAGCAATTTCTTCGGCTATCACGGTTCTTCATTCAAAACCGACACTTGGTCACATGTGTCCTCCTAACCTAACTAAGGTACGCAAGCAACACTACCAGAGCATAGCCTCGACCGACTCATGTTCTCTCCATCATTCCAGTCTAAATTCAACTCAAGCTCTGTGTTGAGGGTTCTCTATTAGCTCGTGGCTCTCCTCTTGCCGGCTTGTTTCGCTGCTTCTCTCAAGACGAACGCTGCTCGCGTTCCGCTTCGCCTCCTGGATCTGTCTAAGGCCCTGCTCAACCACCGAGGGTACCTCAGAAAGTTCCTCCTTTTGAGCCAACGCATAAGAAGGTCCGTATTTCTTCAAGGCACTCTCGAATTTAACATACTCGATCCCCTGATGGATCAGTTGAGCAACAGTGACAGCAAGCAATATGATAGCAGTTGTCTGTCCAAAATCCCATCTATTCTCATCCTCGCCCTCCAGATAGGGGTAGTTTTCCAGTCGCAACTTGATCATCATGTAGAGGTGTACCGGGAATTGCAGCGCGCTGAGCAGCAGCAACGGTTTCCGGAATTTTACCGAGGCGAACAAGGAACCAAACATGACGAGTAGAAGCCATATCGCCGTGGTCGCTACATATGCCTTGTCGGCAGTTGGGTGATCAGCCCCGGGAACTGCGAGACCTGTCGTTATATAACAGTAGCCGGCCTCTTCTGCGGTAAGTGACCATTCATCTAGTCGGACTTCGAGGAAGATGGTGAGTCCTAAGAACAGGACTGCGAATGCGTATGAAACGCGGAAGCGACCGGTCCAGTAAGCCGGGAATATCTTATGATGAGATCGCGATTTAAGCGATTTAGCTCTCATGAAGGTCCAGCAGACCAACGCCGCCGCATTCGAAACACTGTGCATGTGGAATAGAGTAAGTAAACGAATTTACTAAAAGATACCGCGAATGGCCGGATTTTGAATTTCTTACCCGACGAAACTAACAGTGTCGTAAACCAAATGTAGATGATATAAGTCGATTTCCTTCCCGTGTGCAAGTGTCGTGCCGATAAGTGCGAGTCCTTCACGTTGTCCGTAAGTTTAAACTATCCACCCATAGGTAGTAGTAAAGGGGGAAATAATATTATCAAAGACGTACCGGTGATCATTTGCAAATCGTTTCCGACCATTAATATTTCGGTTACGAATCCGAGTCGTTTCTTCTCGTTTGCACGTTGCGCAGTGCCCTCTTCACCTTGGACTTGGAGACGACCGAATTTCGTTAGGAAAAATGCCCAGATAGACAATACTAGCGAGATGAAAGCTTGCACGCTGAAACCGATTAAGACCTATACGCATTGGTGGGCGTTAGAATTGACAAGATTCGAAATCCAAAACGGGCGTGTTGATCTCACTCCGTAGCCCGCAATGTCGGGCATGGCCTCGCCGACTTTCTCACATTGTGTCGGTTCGCCGTGTAATTCGGGCAACTCGGATGCTTCCATATCTTAATCGTGTTAGTTGTGAAGACTCTTGGCGAGAGTAACTCGTAAGGCTGAAGAATCGAGCTGCCAAGTTGTCAAGCGGGCTCTCGATTGGTGATATCTCAGGTCAAGCTTTTTTTGAAAGTCAGTTCTTACATACATATTTGTATCCGCCCCTTCAGTCTATATATGTATGTCGAATAGCCTAGCTGTGGATGCATTGGACCTTCATCTCATGCACAGTACTTGGATAGAGATCCTAAAGCTGAGCTGGCAGGGTCTACCCAACGGTTAGCATCATGCTGCGCCGCATATAATCATGTAAGCCGTTATGTTTTGACGAATGACGACTTTTTGCGAAGATCCAATCTTCTTCAGCTGTCCCATATCGAATCCTAGTTGCATTGACTAAATTAGAATATCCGCGCTACTATTAGGAATAGACGACGTATAAGTGGCTTTTAACTTGTATGAATTCGTTTGCACGGGCTTTTGCAGTTTGCATAGTAATATTTTTTGCTAGCCATCCCCGCTATAGGAAATATATTACGAAAATCACTGGTCTTTAGCCTTACCGTCTTTTATTTTCTGAAGATCTCTTTAACCTGGGTAGGGAATATGCTCCGAAGGAAGTAAGCGGAACATCCGCTATTAAGGCTGTTTGCCAGCCATTGTCGATTGTTGCAGGATATTTAAAGGTAGGACTCCACCTCGTTCTCGTTCTCGTTAACTTGTACCCACTGTACAAAGCCACATCTCCATCTCTTAATAAATAGAGACCCAATGGGCTTGCTCCATGTTAGGAGCGAAAAGTAATATCCACGACCTCTATTTTGAACAATAGGTATTTACCTCAGACAACAAAATCTTAAGATATCTCTATATTTCCCAATAATCATATACGTAGGTGAATTCACGGTGGGCGAGGGCTTATCAAATTAGCCTAGAAGCGTGGTGTTGATATCATCGAGTCAACATATATATATATTGGCATGAATGACGACGGTGAACGGCTTGTCAAAGTCGAGTAATGGATACATTCAGTTGTCGCGTCGCTTTATGTTAGAAACAGGGTAAGAGAAAAGAGTAAATTATAAGATATCCACGAGAAATATAAAGTGTGATTCCACTTTTTTATACTTTAAATACGTAAATGCATCATTTGCGCGCGGTTACACAAGGTACTAATAAAGTAAAGCATCGGCATTTCGTATGAGAAAATAAGCTTATAATTAGAATTGGCGAGTAGAAAGTCGATCGAAGACTCTATCGTGATACAAGCTAGGCGGGGCTAATCCGATTTGATAAGTTTCACGTATAGCTAAGACGCCGGACAAACCTTAAGCTTATAAAAGAACGTTAGGCGGGTTGGATTTGTGAACCACACCGCTTGAAACGCATATCATAAGTACGTCCGTCAAGGTTCTCACTATCCTGCCGTGACCAGACTATCTACATTTCGCAGCCTTGGCTCAACCCGATAGGCATCGTTAAGTTGCCGTGCATGAAGAACCTACATCGAGGTAGCTCCGGTGTCCACCACGGGAACCAACATTAGTGTATATTAGTGTAGTTCAGATAAGCCGAGCGGCAAAGCCCTGATATTCAAATCCGAATCCCTAGGTACACATATGTGGGACCTGATGTTCCCTTATACATAGTATATTATGTACTAAGGGACAAACAAAGATTGGCCATCAAGGTACCCGTCAGCGCATGGATTAGCAAAGCTTGGCATATCACTATAGGCCTTTCGCCCAATCAGATGCTGCGCAAAAGCAGCCTCTGTCCCTACCCGCATTGTTACATGTGTACTTCGTAGGTCGGCAGCCACTTCTACGGATCTACATCTTAAATACGCAAGCTAAATAGAACTTTCCGTCTAACACATTATTATTCATAGTTATCACTTACAAAGTTATTGTTACCACTGTTACTTTTATTTCCTTCTTTCCGCCGTCGTCTACTTTCTCCTCCTACGTTTCTCTATAAACTCGCTCCGAATTCTTGCATTCTTTCCGCTTTGTTGAAATTAGAGTGTCTCGTTACTACGCCACCTTAAACCGGGACTTGTCAAACTGCCGAAAGCGTCTAGATCTGCCAGCCAGCCAGCCAGCCAGCCAGCCTCACCAATATTTTCAGATCGTCGGGACGCATACCACTCTCAACTCTATGCTCTCATAGCCTATTCATTTAAAGTTCGAGAGAGGAAAGGCGACGACGTGGCGTGATATATCCAACGTCAATTTGGCCTATTATGGAGGCCGCCGAGTTGGACAATGATACGAGGGGTTGGATCATGTGTCTAGTGAGCGGCGTTGGTGTGTGACCTTAACCATATGAATTGTGTGGCTTTTGCTGATATACTGACTGACTTGTTGTATTGATATAGCATGCGTGATAGGATCCGCTATCATCTGCGTCGATGTAGTCGTCCGGCTCTTCCCCGGTAAAAAGGATTTTCGAATACAAGACAGCAATACCTTTCTCGCCTGCTCGCTGAGCTTGAGTTTCGGCGTAATGGTAAGACTTTAAATCATTGGATTCAGTTTAAAATATGCTGATATTGTATTGCTCTAGTTGTTCATGTCGCTGTACAGCATGTTGCCCGAATCGAAGGGCTACCTTATAAAGGGAGGCTATTCAGATCAGACGGCAGGCTTCATTTTGATGGCCTGCTTTGTAGGCGGGTTCGTGGGTATTCAAGTATTATCAAGGTTATTTCACCGGCTTATACCTTCGCATGTCGTCGACTGCGACCATAGCCACGATGATCATGCTTTAGATAGCCATCATACTCATGCAGATGGCTTCAGCCGGAGGCTATCTTCACATGCCTCCCATGCTCGAAGCATCGGTAGACGCAATTATTCCACACATGTCCATCTTGACGGCCCAAAGCCTCTAGTGAGCGAAATCGGCCACGCCAATGAGATTACGCCGCTTCTACAAACAGACACCTCCAACGAGACATACCGCGCTCGACCACTGAGAAGGGCAGAGACCGAGAACCTCACAGATGCACACCTACCTACAGCCATGCGCAGCCCTCGCAGCCGAGCGATGACGTCGGAAAGGCGACCTTCGATGTTGCAGAAGCGAGTTATGTCCTTTGTTAAAGATACCAAGCCTAATTGCGACTCGGCTGGTCCTTGCTACGGATACTCAGATCCGTGTGGACAAGAATGTTTCAAGCACCTCAGCAGCCGATCCGCACCCCTATCCCGAGCCCCTACTTTACTTCGTTCTACTACTATAGGACATACCGAGCAGTGTATCGATACGGTAGACGAGGACGACGATCTCGATACTTCATCTACTGTAAGCCCTACGTGTCGCATGAGTCGTGTGCATTCGCGTGATGTTCACCACGAACATGAAGATGAACACCACTCTGAAATCCCGGAAGACGTCGAGGCCCAACATCATCATCACGTTGCCGAGAACGCCTTTCTGTCCATCGGCCTTCAGACCTCTGTTGCGATCGCTCTGCATAAATTCCCCGAAGGCTTTATCACTTACGCAACGAATCATGCAAACCCTTCCCTTGGTTTCAACGTATTTCTGGCGCTCTTTGTGCACAATATTACCGAAGGGTTTGCACTTGCATTGCCACTCTATATGGCGCTACATAACAGGTTCCGTGCTATGCTATGGGCTTCTGTGCTAGGTGGTCTAAGCCAGCCATTAGGAGCGAGCATCGCGGTACTGTGGTTTAAATTGGCCCAGCATACGAATATAACGCCAGACGCCGTGGCGTACGGCTGCCTGTTCGCTATCACGGCAGGCATTATGGCTAGCGTGGCCCTGCAGCTGTTCGTCGAGAGTCTGAGCCTCAATCACAACCAGAATTTAAGCATTTTATTCGCGTTCTTGGGTATGACGCTGCTGGGGATCAGCAATGCCTTCACTTCACATGCACATTGATTATAATATGCACTTCTCTACCTCCGAATTGGGCACAGGGAGAGAGAAAATAGGAGGGCTATGCTATTAATCGCTATCTTCTTTTTTTTCGGTTTAAGGCTACAGGATGGGAGTAGGCCAGGGTATCAATTGATTGATTGCAAGTATCATGCGCGGCGTCCTTGGAGTTTTTACGGATACGAGGGATGCCAGGCACGAAACCCATAGTTCATAAGGGTAACCAGTCGAAACTGCAACTCCCCATGTTCAGACTCGCAGGGAAGCGAGGAAGGAAACGAAAGGAATCATCAGTGTACACACCATAGCACCAAGGGAGAATGTTGCATACGTTAGCTCTTTTGTATAAAATGGCCAGAATAACAGTGCTTGAATGGAAAGGCCCGTTTCTTCTTGCTTGGTTACCTCTTATGATGGATTTGTATACAATGCTAATGTTCCCGGGTTTTATAAATAACTACCTAAGGAAATTAGCATGAATTCGTGATTTATTTCTTCGCGCCTATAAGCGTGTACATGCGTATATATACCTAATATATATATATTTATACTAAATAACTGACAACTCTGCGTCACTATAACTAAATGATTGTATCATACGTCTTTTCTCTTTCGAACTAAGGGGGTATTCGTTCCATCAAAGTCGTCTATCTTGGTCTTACATATATAGGTTAGGTAGGTAGATATATGTTCATTACGCTCCCGTCCTATTTCGAACTTAACAGCTTATATGTGACTCCTTATTACCACTCCGTGTTTCTCTTCACTGGTTCCTCTCCTATCATCATCACAATCTACTCACTTCTCTCTCTTGCCCCGGTGCCAAAGCACCACTCATCAGAAACTCACCACCATTCCTCTCTTCTGGCCGCGGGTATCCATGCAACACCATCTCCCTCCCGCCAGCAGTTCCCCACCACGCGACGCCCACAGCCGCACGCTCAACGTCCATCTCGCCGTTGACCAATACATCCCAGAAGCGGCGGCGAACGCCGTCGCGCAGACGCGGGTCCTCTATCGCGTTCATAGTCTCGGCAGCGCGCGTGAGCCACTCCTCGACTGCGTGTAGCGGGACATGGGGTAGTGCATCGATAAGCGCCAGGACAAGAGCCGATTGTTCCGAGGCGGGGTCCTCGGATGAAGCCGCGGCCTGTTCGCTCGGTGGCAAGGGGGCTGTAGACGCACCCTCGACAGCGCGGAACCGCAGGGTTTCGAGGAGGGCCTCGGCGAGGTCGGGATGCGAGGCGGAGAGGGGGAAGGGAGGACTGGAGATCTGCATAACAGTGCGGAAGGCGAGGCGGAATTGCCGGGGAGAAATACGAGAGGGGAATGAAGATAACAGGGTGTCGACGTAGAAGGGGATGAGGGAGGCGGCTAGGGCGCTGTGTTGTGGACATGAGAGGGACGAGAGGACGGCTGAGTGTGCCGCTTCGAAGAGCTCGAGGGTTAGTGAAGATGGAGGAGTGTTGGCTGGACTGGCGAGCCAGGAGGTGGATGGAGCCAGATAGGCCGTTGCGGGTGTGACGATTAAGTCCTCGCATGCACGTGTTGGCAGCGAGAGTGGGAGGTGCTCTGCTGTGTTGAGGTAAAAGAGGGTGAGGGCTTGGATTACTGGGGATGGTACCACATTGCTTGTCTGAGGTGATGGTGGCTGTGTATCTCGAAGGAAAGACACGCAAGCATCCGGATAGCGTGTGATAATATCGAGAGATGTGAGGTAAGTAAATGTGTATACTTGGAACGAACTTGCACCTTGGCGTGTAGATATAAAGGACAAGTTGTGCAGTATATGCAGCGTCCTCGCAGCTGTAGTTGCTGCTATCGCGTCGTTCCTAAGGTACGGGTCCAATAGGGATCGCCCAACAATAGCTTGAACTGTTGCGGCCACGGCGTATAAGATCTTCTTGAACAGTTGCCATAGAATTGGCCAGGGACCCAGAAGCACCTCGGGTGCGAGAGCCGCAGATTCGACGGTTAAGTCGATGGCAGAAAGCGGACAATGGGTCCATTTATTTAGCAAGGCCGCTGTGAACCCAAGAAGTGTTTCGTGAGCTTGAAGAACGATATTGGGATCCATCGCCTGTTGAACAGCAAACGACGCGAGTCGCGAAAGGGGTCCCATATTCTGTGCTAGGGGCCGAGACTCGAGTTTTTGAATTCTAGCAACGGATAGCGAGTCGGGTTGCCACTTTATGATCGGTCCTGGTGCGATGTCGTTCGCGATCGGTGAAATGAAGTCGCCGTGTTGAAGGCCTTCTTCTCCGAGCATGGCTTCGACGATGGCCGGTAGGAGTGCATTCCCATCCAGAATCTGCTTGGCCGATTCGTGTAAAAGGGGGAATGCGAATGTCAACGCCAGTACAACAGCACTACGCTCTAACGGTCCCGTCCGCATAGGTTCTTGGAGTGCCAGGTTGGCGGCTGTAACGACAGCCTGTTCGAGCGTCGACCGCAAACTCCAGGATAAGGATCTTCTATCGTCTCCTTCCATGCCCATCAGGATACCTGTTAACACCAGCACATGCTGCCATCTACTCGACCTATCATCCGCCCCCTTCGCAATGGCGCGTGCCCAATCCTCGCTATGGACTCCGCTACCAACAGGTGGTCGTCCGCGTGGGAGGGTCGCATTTTCTAATTCGTTCTTCCGCACGTGTATGGAGGCGGTGTTGTATATGCTTATGATACGCAGACAAGTGCGCAGGCCGTCGGGAGATTGCCATATGGCGCGGGCTGTAAGGAAATGTGAGGTGAGTAGAGAGAGGTTGAGGGGATTGTTGAGGCTGGTGAGAAGCGATGTAGTGGTCCCGAAGATCTTGTCCGTCTCGGTTGGATTGGGAGCGTTTTGGTAGGCCCGTAGGACCGTGGCTAGTAATCGATCGCCTGGCATTGTTCGCGTCTCGATTTTATATTTATGTGTGTTGCAGTATCCTACATAATGAAGCTGTTCCTTTTTCACGTCGTTGTTTGTTGAGATAAAATTGCCAAAGTCTAAAGTTTGGAGATTGAAGTTCCGAGGAATCGTTGTTGCTATTGGAACTTGGTACCCGCGTACAGGGTACAGGTTATGTAAGCCTGTCAGCTCCAACTTTTACCGAGGCACGACGTCAATTGAGTTTATTACCTAACGTACATGTAGGTAGCACTACATAGTGCATACCTAGGTACCTATATACATAGTTATCCCCCTGTCTTGCAGCCACCACACGGGAGCTTCCCGCCGTGTAACCCCCTGTCATCTTTCATCTGTCATCTTATCCTTCAGCTCAAAAGCTCCACAGCTTTCTACCTATCGTCTTCTTCGCATCTCCTTTGTACAAGCTCTAGGTTAAATATATACACTGCAGCTCTACATGTGCATAGAACATTCCGATTAATGACCAATTCTATGGCAACACTTTCTAGAGCAATAATCTAAACGGCCAGATGGCCACCCCGCCGTAAGTCGTATCGTCTAATATCGAATTGCTAGTATCGTCGAGACAATTTAACTAAATCATCGACGTCTAGTGCCAATTGTCATAATTATCCCCCCGACGATTACCACAGCCCCAAGTTCCCGTCCCTCTGCTGGCCTCCTCAGAACCAATACTGCGCCTTATATTCGGTCTGGGACTCATGGCGATATACACTTCTTTGGACCCTGATCCTCTATGCCGTGTTCCATTTCGGAGCCGTGGGCATCGCCCTCGCAATGCAGATCGGAAAGCCGCGATTCGTATGGAAGTACATGCTGGCTGTCCCAGCGATATACGCCTTGGTTGCTGGGGCTGAGGCATTGTTTACCGGTAGCATCGTTGGATTAATGTAGGCACCTTTCGACCTTGTCTTCGAGTCGTTGCGATTGGCTTACACCCGTCTTTAGGCTCGGCGCTATCTACATCTCTGGATGCTACCAGATGCCGACCTGGATACCGTTCATCTGGGGGTGGATAAATGTCTTGGTCTTGATCGTCTCCTCCTTCACCATTCAGGGAGGTCTATAAAACCCTATGCTACAGCCCGAAATAAGCCGTGTATCCAAGGGCAATCGACCTTGAAAGGCCTCTCAACCCGGGACCAATGCAATTATCCCACAATGGGAGATATCAAATGATGAGCGGTACATCCTACCGTGACGCCTCTAGCCGCGATAATTGCGTGAGGCATTAATAAACTCAAGGTGGTCCCAGCTGATGTATACGCCATGCTGGCCGATGGCTATGGGTATCAAGCTAATAAAAGACACTAGGAAACACATAGCTAGTGTCATAACGATTATGTACTTCTTGAGAGGCACCTTGGTCCTTTTAGGTGCTAGACTTGGAAGAGGGAACGAGGTTAGTAGTTCCCGGTTGATTATAACCCTATCAATAATATACAATTTTATAGAGTCAGCTGTATCGAGTCTTGGTATTTTAACATGCTGAAATAGAAGGTCATTGGAACTCCAGCAGCTCCCAACTTTTCCCATTTTATCATGTCTCACATTTTTTACTTATGTGATCTGGCAAAGACATCCCTATAGATCATATGTCAATGCCATTGTTCAAAGGTATCGTTCAACAAGGACGTAAGATGAGCTATATAGAAATTAGCCTCGGGATTCTAATGTCACATTGCTACATAATTCAACAATTTATTCGGGGAAGAGTACTTTATTAAATATAACAAAACAACAAAACAGCAAAACATAGCAAAACATAGCAAAACATAACAAGCACACTATATACATGAAAATTAAACCCATGTCTAGTTACCCAATGGCACATGTATCTCCATAAACCAATACAGGCCAGTAGAAAGCCATGGGGCTGATTTAACATCGGCCATATATGGTCCAAATCCGTCCTAGCAGTAAATAGGGATGGCATCGCCTTTCGTACGGTAAACCCAGGTCGGTAACAGTCGACAGGAAATACCTGCCACCTCCCCCCTCACCCCCTCCTCTTTTTTCTTCTTCCTTATTTACTCAGTAGTAAACTCTGCCTCCTACGGAATAAGTAGCCCAGTCAACACCAAAAGAAACTAGGATGACATACCGAATCTATATCATCCAGGTCCTTTTACCGGCCTCGACAGCGCATATTTATTCCTTGACACCGTCCGGCTCGGCCTAGGCCAAAAGAAACCGTGATAATATAACAGTTCTTTTATCGGCCCTAGTACCGTAGCAGGAGTAATCTTAGAAACGCAAGGAAGAACCCTCCCTCCTCCCTTTTGTTTCATTTTATTTTATTTCTGCTCTCTTACTTACTCGGAGGTGAACTCAGTCTCCTATAGAATACACCGCTTAGTCCAGGCCAGAGGAGAAAAAAGCCTCCAAGTCTTTAGTAGGTATCCCTGAAACACCTTGCCTTGATTTAGTTATTTGATGATCCTCATCGGTCCCAGTGACATAGCAGCATGAGTATCCCTAGAAGCATGAGAAAACACCCCCCTCTTCCTTTTTTTCTTGTCTTTCTTTTTGACTGAAACATGTTTCCTCGCCCCCTGTCGGTCTAAAAGCATCATTGGTGTGCGTATTCCAGTTCACAATTCCGGAATGTCTTACTCACCTAGCTTTCAGCCAAGGGGACAAGGAAACGTCTAGGTTAAGTACCTATCTATGAATCAAGCAACTGCACTGAAGCAAGTTCTCGATCAAAATGTAAGATATATCGTTAAGAATCATGGAAATTTCCTCACCCTTGTCGGTCTCAAAGCACCATGGTTGTGCGTATTCCAGTTGAAATACCTCACGTACCTAAAATGGCTCTGGCCAAAGGAACGAGGAAATATATTACGATTCCGTAATGGAATCAGCCTCATGTAGGAGATAAGTGTATACAATGCCTAGCTTAAGCCAGAAGAAACAAGGCAAACCAACGTTGGTGGGTTCGCCCTACTCCTTATAGCCAAAGCGTCCTCGGCATATGCGATCTTGAAGAATGCCTCGCCAGGGGAAATTCAGTAATTGACAACCCAAGTTACCTATTCTGTTTACTGTACCAGCGCGGTCGAGGCATTCCCGGAAACAGTGGAAGATATTCTCCCCATCTTGAGCTCTTTTTTTTTTCATCTTTTTTTTATATTCTTTTCTCCGCCAGCTGTTTTAATCCTGCCCCCTGTGGATATGACACTTAGCTTAGGCCAAAAGAGAAACGTCTCTCGGCTATGACTACCTCTTTATCGGTCCTGAAACCATAGCAGAACTATCCCAAGGAACAAGACGACATGTCGTCTTTGATTCTTCAGGTAACTTCAACCTCCTGGGGTCTATGTTGCTTGACCTGGGCCAATGAAATATAGTTCGGCCTCATCATCGGTCCCGAAAGCAAAGCAAAAAAAAAAAAAAGCCCCCTGGAAGAAGAAGACACCCTCATCCCCCTTTCGCTCTTCGTGTTTTTCCTCCCCTTTTCCTCCTCTCCTTTAGTGGCGCACCCTCCCTCCCGCCCAAGGCCACTTACTTAATTAGCGGATTTAATCGACGTCGTCCGGACTATGAGCGAACGACGGCACGTCCCTCCGCTCCGGGAATTCTCTAGACTCGGAACTTGGGGGATGATCCCAAGAGAGCGCCTCGGTGTTGTTCCCATGGGCCCCCCGAGTCCGCATTCCCCTCAGGAGCAAGTCGGCCGCGTCCTTGCACTTATCAGCAGTAGTCAACGCCGTGTATAAGACGCCCGGCCGCGGAGAATACATGTCTCGAGAATGTCTTGGCTGGAACCGCAGCTCGGGAATCGCAGCATCGAACATGAGTTGATATTCCTTGGCGTCGCTACCGAATATCTTCTCCATTGCGGCCGAGTAATTGCAGTCGTTCTGCTCTCGCAGCTCCTTCTCCAATTCCTTGACCTTAGGCGCAACCAGGCGGTCCAGGTCGTCTGCCTGGGACTGTGTTAGCTGCAGCACTACGTCAGCGTTGTCCTCGTCCTTTTTCCCATCCTCAACGGGAGGGAGAGACCAACTTTCAAGATCCGACTTGCTCACGTGGACGTAGTCGTCAGAAATGGAGGGGTGATCGACTTCAACCCACTCGTGCCAATCTCTGCCTGGGCTCAAGCCTGATTTTGTCAAGGCCATTTTGACAGTTTTATTCGAAGTTGCAAAGTTGAAGATTTCGGAAATCGTTCATTACAAGAATACCCACGAAAGCACCAGTGCTGCTGTAGTATGAGTTCTTAAGAATACGATGATGATAACTTGATAGTTGTGTGTGTGATGATGATGATGATGATGATGATGAGTTTTTTCTGAGACCAAAGCATCAGAAACCGACCGATATTATATACCACGTTCTCCTCGATACATGTTCGTGAACAGTATCAACGTTATAGAACATGGCGGTTGTATGCTAATAACTCCCTTAGAAATAAACGCGGCAGACAAAGACCATTATTTTCAACATTAGCTAGAATATAGGAAGTCTTGCTTGGCACAATTCTCTTGTTACTGGCGAGTACAGGGTTCAGTTGAAAGACATAGTTCAGTAGACAGGCGACTAAAGCGTCAGGATCAATGGACAGGGTAAATATCGTGGGAAAATGATAAGAGAAAAGTAGCCTACGCAACTACTAGGGCAGTTCATCAAAATCATAACCGTTAAGAGCGGTATACTTTGACCCATCAAGGTCAATTGGCGCGCACACAATGCTTGAAAATGAAAGAAACTTTTGTTAATTCGGAATAGTGAGAAAACATCTGCTTCTCAGGATGTTCCTAGCCAGAAGTTAACTGACTTATGAGCCCTACAGGCTATACTGGATCCCCTGATAGACCATCGAAAACCTAACCTGCATAATAGACATAGTGTACTTTCTAGTGCAAGTCTCAGGAAGCATGTTGCGAACTTAAGCGCCCAAGCTGGGGAAGGCGTCCGAGCTGAGGGCAAATGAGGCATTCTCGCGAGCGCCACCGCGTCCACCACGGAAGTCGCCACGGGGCTCACCTCGGGGCTCACCTCGGGGTTCACCACGGCCACGGCCACCTCCGCGACCGCGACCCTCGCCCCTGGGAGCACCTCCACGGCTGCCGCCACGTCCGCCACGACCACCTCGAGTACGCTCAGGCTCAACATATCGTTGGTCAATATCGAGAAGCTGCTTGGCCTTGCGCTCACGCTCGCGCTTGACCTTACCGGCGACACCGGAAACGTAGTCGTCATCTTCCTCCTTGATGAGGGCCTTAGCGCTGGCCCACTTCTTGTCGGTCTTAGTACCTTCGTTGGCCTTGCGGATCTCTAAAGACTCGCCGAGGGCGAGTTTCTTCTCAGCTTGCTGAGCAAGGTAGTCGGCGTAAGAGACATGCTTGTCCTCGGGCTCGGCCGGAGTAGTTGGCTCCTGAGCATCCTCAGCGGTTGATTCCTTCAATTCCGACTGAGCGATTTCCTCTCCGGCCTGCTCGTCTTTCTGCTCGGCATCGCCTTCTGTAGCGCCCCATGATTGGGCAGCTTGCTTCTCAGAACCACTGAATGCGAAATTAGTACTTGTGACAAAGTAGGTATTCGTTCATGACCAACCTTGCGAGACCCTTGGCATGTCTGTCGTCACGGTCGCGGGGGAATCGACCTCCACGTCCTGTGCCATTATATTAACATGTATTCATTTCCAACAAGCATTGGGCATTTGACTCTTACCTCCTCGTGCACGGGCATCGCGACCACCCCGGGGACCACCTCGGGGAGCTTCATCTGTGGGCTTGCGGTGGTTGTTAGCTGAACCGGCATTGCGGTCACGGAAGGCTGGATAGGAAGTATATTAGCGGGGTGAATTCAAATGAGATCGGGAATGATGCGTCAAGATGACGGAATCCTTGGAGAACCTGTCAGACACATATGACACTCACCTCCCTCGTTGCCTCCAGGACCAGCACGACGAGCTCCGGTGTTGGTAGCGGCTTTGACGGGGGCTTGGGGCTCGACGTTGCGCTTGGTACTGCGCATAGTGGTCTTGTCGACCGTCTTCACAGGGCCGGACGGCGGTTCATCTCCTTCGATATCGTTGCCTATTAGTAATGGTTAAGGTTAGTAAACCAGGATTTCGGAGGTCGAAAATTTTCATGGCGGGGAAGCAATCGAGGGGTTCATACCGAGGGCATCGAAAGGGTTCTGGCGATTTAAAAATTAGCTTTGCGATCTCAACACAGCTCTACTGATACATAAAAAAGAACGGAGATGCGATGAGCAGCTGTAGCTCGAGGTAATGGGGGGGGAAATGACAAAATAGGCGAGTGATGCCCAAGAGTTATGACATACCTTCGAGGCGACCGACATGTTGTCGCCAATTGATTCGCCTTTCAGCAAGGCGGAGCTCTGAAAACGACAGTCGGATCAATAGGAGATAATGCAACGAGGGGAAAAGGATATGGCCTAGCAGGTCATATCCTTGAGCAAAATATCTCGTCAATATCCTCAGCGTTGGTGAGGTTGGGTAAGGTTTGGAATTGGTGTGTTGCGGCGCCGGTAATTGTTGTGTGAGAGTTGGGCCTTGTGGGCTTTCCACTTGTTTGCGAGGTGGTGGACAAAACTTTCCTTGGCTAGAAACTAACCTAACTTATTTTTTCCCTCCTTAGGTGACGCCCAGACTCGCTTAGGCGGGACGGCGAAATTAATTCTCTTGATTTTTGTTTGGTTTTACAATTGACACTTTTTAGTGCGCTGCTGAATCAGCACCTTACTGGGCAGATAGTAGGGCAGGTAGGGTTCGACATCTGTTAGCGCGGGACGTATCACCAGTACATACACCTTGAGGTCCTAGGGTACCTAAGGTATCCGTAAGTACCTCTCTTTTAAGCAACCGCAACCCAAGGTATCTAAGTATTTCTTTACGCATATTTATGGTTATGTCCGTATTCACATGCTTTGACATTTGTGCTTTCTACTTTTTACTGACGCCTACATAAAATACATAAAAGCTTCATTAAGCTATTAAAGGTCTACGAGTAGATAATGTACGTCAATGGGATCCTGTCAACAATTACGTATTCCTGTAACAGGATAGCCAAGGTTTCCCCGGATCCCACAATTGCATCACTTGCATATCGAGATAGGCACGTTTGATGCTGGTGTACATGTGTACGCTTGGATCATATGTTGGTTCTGATGGATCCCTTTTATCGTCATATTGTATATCATCGCCTAGTTATCGGTACCTTAGGTAATCTAGGTAGCTATCTCTATACCCCGCCATTACATACGTATCCATACCTACCTATATATCTGTGCTCGTTGCACTAGGCCTAGACACAACGGTAATTATGCCTTGATCTTGCTTTGACATCGTTTTGAGGTAAGCTTAAAACCACTATAATTCGTTGTCAATAGGTTAGGCTAGCGGTTGATGGGATAAGTCATCGTTTCCTAAACACCGAGTGAATGTAACTACCTACCTCTTACGTATTAGTAGTTAATAAGATAAGAGGTCCAGCCCCTCGTAGTTTTTCTTGGATTACACCGATAAGGGGAGAGATAAAGCTCTATACATACCTAGTTGATAAGCGAAGAAAGCCACATTAGTATAGGTAGTTATCAAATACCGTAATATTAATGGTCATAGTCTATAGGGGTTTATGAGAGGTAATATGTAATATATAGGTAATATATTACAATTCCTTATTTTCTCTTACGAATACAGGCTAGTTTAGCATGTCAAGCTTAATAGTCTCTTTCCCAAGGGATTGTGGTGAGAATTAAAGAGTATATCTTACGCTGGAGTTATCCTACCATCCAACATAAACGACCAAGGCATACATGTTGAATTTCATTTACAATGCATGGGAAGATGTTATAGTTAAACACCGAGGCTTATTCACAACCTCTCTAGGTAGACCACCTCGGCCGCCGCAGCGCAATGCACAACGAGCATGTAAATGCGGCGCTCTACCCGCTGCATGATAGGCCACTAAAGAAAATTGCACTCTTGGCAGGCAACTTAGATTCGACGCGGTGCGAGTTTACCAAATACATATGCAACTTGTGTCGAAAGGTATGCTATGTAGGTATGTATGATATGTGTGGAGCTCGCAGGGTCCTTGCCGAGTGCACCACCGCTACGTAGATATGGGTATAAACAGAAACGATATGATAGGCCAAGGGCCAGCAGTATTACGAGGTCTCTATGTTAGTGATCGTCCTCGGACAGGGACCAGAAGCTATATCTTACTTAACATTTAGGTAACTTATTTTCCTCTTCGACCACGGCATTCGATAGCGCAATGACGTTATGCAAGACGGGGCGCCGAGAAAAGCGTCGCTACACGCTGGAATTAGGTCCAGGGACTCAAGGAGATACTTCGTACTTCGTTAGATCGTGGGGTATCGTGGGAGGGATTTTAATTCTGTTAATAATGGCTTCCTTATCTCTGGTTCGCCTATCATACCGACAATTCACTGACACCAGAGATAAGCCAACCATAGGTTACCTCCCATCCAAATAAATACTCTGCAGTAGCATCTAGACGAATTTGAGAATATCTTCTCTATTTATCTGTTCGCCGACAATCTTTGGAAGCTCGGAAGCTCTCGTCGACTTCTCATTCGAAAGACATAGAGTTAGCCGAAGATATCAGTTATTATCGGCGTATACTCTCGTTTGTGTCTACTATAATGACTTGAAAGAGGGAATTCTTCATTTATCTTTTTATTTTTATTTTCATTTATTTTTATTTTTTTTGTTATCTTCTAGTGGTCGTTGAGACGAGACAAGTGTCTCTCTCACAGTCATTGCCGATATTTATTTCTTCATTGTCATGAAGTATGATATATTAGAGTGTTTTTACGACCTAAGTGGTCTCGTGTCTCTAGTGAGGTGTTTGTCACATCTTGACTCCTTGCTTTTAGCTCAGCGAAGTCAAGTATATATGCTACACTCTATGTTGGGCCAACACCTGCCAGCTATGCACAGACCTAACCCGACGAAAAGGATCTCACGATTAAGGCGGTCCAAGATGAGGTCCTATGCTGCGTCAATATGGAAAGACGCAAGGTCAGCTAGGAAAAGAGAATTGATGTGAGGCAACGCGACTCTATTATGAAATGGTCTGAGATATTCATGGCCACGTCATATGAGATGGAGAATGTATCCGGAGAGAAGTCCGTCGCTTCAAAATGGCCGCGGTCCTCGTCATCTCGAACGAGGGAGTAATTTGCGACGTCACTCGGGACTAGCTAAGCTGGAATGTGTGAGCGGTCACACCTGATGATGACCTTCGAGTCGGTCGAGGACCCCCGGTAACTGTCACACTCGTGTAGGGTTTTCCTTCTATCGCAGTCAGCAAAGGATACGTAGCCGGGTATGTGGACATGAGCGCGGATCTAGGTCACCGTATTTTGTGTCAGATTCGCCTTTCGGAAATGGTCGTTTCTGAGGATCACACGACACGCGACAACGCGCCACTTGCAGGGCATTGTCTGGAACCACTTGTCCAATGTGTCCTTTCATGCAGAGGTCCTGGCCGAGGATTTCGACTTGCTTGTGCCGAGACGCCTTAGCAGGGCCCAGTGCTGACAGGTCTAGCAATCAATACGGACACAACCAACCGGGTTTGAAATTTCTGGGCGGTTGGATGGATGGAAGGATACGCCGTGATGCTCACTCCACCTGCAAACGATTCCTTCGATTCGTACGCAGCACAACAGCATTGAGAACACCCAAGAACACCCAAGACCAACCGACCGAATCCACCAGCCACCCGGTCGCCTTTGACCGAACCAGCATCCCCGACCGAGGACTTGATTGCCCTGGTAGAATTTTGTGAACCCACCAGACAGATATTTCTCAGGATCCGATATCATTACAACGAGGCAGGACGATCAAAACTTAACCCACCAAGGCCTCGTGATAAATAATTGCCCTAGCCGGACTGAACCAAAAAGGAACGAGCCTACGACGAGCCCCCACGACAGCTAAAACAGACCCACGAGACCGCTCTAGGCCAGGGGAGGAAGATGAGGGAAGACTGGATATGGTATTGGATATGGTATTGGATATGATACCGGATATTTTGCTTGGCCAATGGTACGATCTAATCTGATCTGGTACGCCGAAGTTACAACAGATATTGACCGACGACTGACAACCGATAACCGGTCGGCACGAGCGGCACCGCGTTGAGTTTGGTCTAAGAAATAAGCCTGGCATTAAGCGTACCTAGGTATATAGCGGAATCAACCGCTCTGACCCCTCTAATCATCCTACTGGGTAATCACCCTACAAATAGTGCATACGGGTCTAACTTCCTGCCTTGGCAGCTCCAAGAGTTCAAGTGGAGATCACATACAGCAAACCCCTCCTTCCCTTCCGAGTGCATCTACCTCCCGTCTGGATGTATCTGCATTACTATGTACATAGTAGACGTGTGTGCTGCTGCTGCATATGTGTGTATACCTAGGTATGTACATCAAGTTTGGGGCCCACATCGTTAAAAGTACTTACTACCCAAGTACCTCAGTGAAAGAAAAGAAACCAGAAACCACCGTCTGAAACGGAACAATACATTTTACATTTTAGTGGAGGAAAAAGGCCTACCGTCTCTGTCTATATCTTTACCCTCCGATCATGGATATCCCCTCGGGGTCTGTCCGGCATTAGCTGCGCGTTTGACAAAGACGGGACGTTCCAAAATTATACGTTACATACCTTATAGACTTACTTACCACTGAAAAATAGATCATCGATCCTCCAATCTATCTAATTCGCAGTCTCTACTAGGCCGAGAAATTGAGGAGGGGGGTAACCTAGAACTAATATACTAGGATCTGCTGTGAAACTTGGAAAAGCTCACATATAACGCATGCTCGGTCCATGTCGTTTCGTCAATCCAACGTCACCATCACACCCAAGACTCCGAAGAAATGTTAATTTGATAATAACGTTTGAGGAGTGTAGATGTCCACTGTCTATTTGTGCAGGACGCATGTAGGTGCGTACCTACACGACAGATCCCTCAAAGGCTATCCCAATTTTACTGGTCAACAACTCGACCCCTTTGCTCGATTTGCGTTCCCATTCGCTTCTGGGTATGCACAGCATCGAGAGGAGCTTTTCATGACACCGATACGTAAAGAGTCTCGTGGCCACGGCTCACTAACCGAAACGCGCAACCCTGGCTGGTGTATCTTCCCAAATCAACAGTATATACACGGATGACTTGAATATGGTGTGGTATGCTTGAAAGCAGAATATATTCCAGAATGGAGGAAGAATCGCATCGCCTCTCTAAAGGTAATCGAATCGCGTCTCGCTAGGTTGAAGTGCTGTTTTGGTTTCGTAGACCGGAATATCATGACTTTTGAACTCCTATAAACGCCTGCCAGTGTGGATATCGGGATCCTGTAAACTTTTTGATGCGTAAATCGTATAAACCATCGTACCGAAACAACCTTTTTTTTATCTCCAAATATTGCAATTGCAGTAATAAATCGATGCCTCGGGTTTTTGGAAACCGGAAATGGATGGCTTCCATGGGTATCATACCGGTTCTCTTATAGAATGCTCCGAACAACTTCCAGGAATGAGTATAAATGTCGACCCTCTATACCGAAATCAACGCTTATTATGGTCTCGGCCTGCGTTCATTCATCCATCGCCTCGATTGTTAGGGAGCGGCGTTTCGTTGGTATTGCTTTCGTCTCGCCCCTCATGCAATTTCCACCCTCTTCGACATTGTGCGCAAAGCCCCTACCATATTACTCCACTTCCAGATGCTACCTCATATTACTCGTGTCGAAGGAGAACTGCGTTGGAAAGGCCATAGATGCACTTAGGCCAAATGGATCCCAATCCAATGCTGGGTCCAATAGCTGGGTCATGCTTGGATAGCCTTGGCCTTGTGTTTGGTTTTGCACTTGATTGCCCTGTCCCCCGGGTGCCATCAGAGGTTGTCCTTGCGGTCCCGTCGTCGCTGACTGCACAGACATGCCATGCTGTTGAGGGACTTGGAACGTCGAAGGATAAGGGCCCGGCCCTGGCGTATCCGGTTCGGTCTCGTCCATCATATCGGTCGGGGCGTCGTACTCTTGTTCTGTACTCACGGATTAGGCATAGGACGACAGAGTTCTATTAAATAAAAAAGAAATGGGCTAGCTTGCCGAGCTGTTGAAAATGATTTTGGAATGATGGCGTCGGGTAGAATGCCGTCGGCCGGGTGCCAATAGCATGCTGCTGCAACATCTGCTGGCGCGCCGCGACTGTCATTCCGGGCATCGGTGCCAATTGCGGTTTCATCGACGGGGGAATCGTCGTTCGCATGCTCGTGGGGTCTGAAGATACGGGTGAGGCTGTCGCTTGACTACCAAAAGGTGGTGTGGGGTTAGTGGGAGAAGCCGCGTGGGAAGGGGGAGTTGGCCGGGTCTTAGGCGATGCCATAGACTGCTGCATCCCTGCGGGCTGGGGTAGAGAAGGTATGCCAGGCTCGAGTTTCGGGGCGATGCTAGAAGCAGACCTGCGCGCGTGGTGGTGTCTGTTGAGGATTGCCCGCGGCATAGGTGGTGGTTGTACCATATTCTGGGGCATATGAGTTGGACCAAGATTTGGACTACCAGTCTTGGCATGAAGCTCAGCTTGGACATCAATACCTAAATAACGTAAGTTGATGCTATTCGCGAGATAGGAAACCAGAAGAGAATTCACCTTTTTCCAACAAGATACGTTCAAGAAGGGAATTCTTGTATCGGAGCATCAAACATTCATCTGCAGCACTACGGTGGGCAGCTTGTAGACTAGCCAGGTTCGACTCATGAGCCTTAATAGTTTCTTCGAGCTGTTTGATATATTCTGTCCGGCGCTCTCTAAACGCGGCTTGCGCCTGGCGATTTCTCTGTTTGCGCTCTTCCGAAGTGGCATAGATCTTTGCTCGCTGTCAGCCCACGAACATGGTTTGAACCCCCACTATGTCTCGAGTATGGCGCAAGCGGCCAAAACCAAGCAAAGTGAGTTACGATTATATAAGACGACAGTATACTTACAGGCTTGCGACCTCCTTTGCGCTTTGCCGGTTGGTTTTCTTGTGGGATTGATGGACCTGGCTCATTCTCAAGACTTGAGCCAATGGACTCATCCGATTCGTCTTTCGAATGTTCTTTCTTGTCGATAGACATTTTGTCTGACATGACAATATCGAATACAGGAGACGATTGCCGTTTGGTGGCAAACGCCTTTCAAAAGACGTTGTAATGGGCAAAAAATAAAAAATAAAAATAAAAATAAATAATATAGGCGGTAATTGCCTGTCTTCCTTAGTAGGCTTGCTCGGTATAAGTGTTTGTGGCGTAATTACGGGAATATTGTTTAGTATGTGTGGCCCTTTAGATATCGCCGAACTTGGGATAAAAAAGTAAAGTCGTCCGTTCGGTAGTGAAGCGCGCACATGCAGCGCTAATCAGTACATAATCTGGGGAAACGGGATCCGACAGATGGGGACGGGATTCTTTGTCAAGATCGAGAAATAAGAATGATCCAGACGGCGCCAGGGGAAGCAGTCAAGTAGAGTAACAATGGAGATACACAAGAGACAACGAGTAGTATAGAGGGGTAACAAGTTGTGGTGAGGTAAAGGTAAAGGTAAAGAGAAAATATTGCTTTGGTTTTATGTAATTGAAATCGGTAGGGTAACTCGGGTTGGCTGGCTTCGGTGGCTTGCCGATTTTTAGAGGGGACCTTAGCTAGATGGCAAAAAGATGCACCAAATCTCTTGGAAGGTGTGGGAAGACTTTTTCTTGCTCCTTTTCCCCTTCCCGTATGCCAATTGGCGGTGCGGACTCTAGTCTTACTAGCAAGTGGCTAGTCGTCTGATGATCGATAGAGGACCTACTAACGTTATTGGGTCAAATTGTAGCTGACTTTTTCAGTTCGGCCTGCTCCCTATTCAGTCGCCGTGCGTCTCATTCCACTGCTTTTGAACTTGATGTACTACCTACGCAAATGCCCTTGTCGAGAATCACAATAGGACCTTGCAAGACCTAACAGATTAGGTAGTGAAGACGAGCGTCAGATCGGGATGTTTGAGTCGCCCTCGGAGTATTTCACCAAGCAAATTATAGAAGGGGGAGCTTGTGCGGCCAGTCTGTTGTGCGGCCCCGTGTATACAAGGTAGTCCTGGCTAGTATAACACCAATGCCACCTAAGGTCTGCAAGGTATCATGCAGTAAATACTGCGGGACAGAACACAAGAGTTGGGAATAGTGTGCGGCTAGGCGAGTCCACTGTATTATTGAGGATCCAAAGAGAAAAAACGGATGCAACTTTAGATGGGTCGTTCAACAGTGGTCTTCCGGTGGACTGTGTCGATCAAATAGCGGCAAGACAGGTAATATAACAATAAGGAATACAGCAGGTTAGACGGAATTGCTTTCAGAGGTTTGCAAGTTTATTGAAAAATGGCAATATAAAGATGATCGAAGTAAAGTATTGTAAGGTGCAAGTATGTAGGTAGGTAGACAACGAGGAGGAGTTTAGTGGATATGTATGTATTGCTAGCTTTTCATCTTCGAAGAGTAAGGTCGGAGGGACCTGCCCCAGTTACAACGTTTGTGCTATGTACCTATGTAGGTGGTGCTTCTACGGAGGTACGAAGCTACATACATGTAAGGATGTATTGTACGTGTAGAGACATTAGGAGCTAGGTGAGCTTGAGCTTAGCAGGTGGGATGGATGCCTGTTAGTTTAAGTACATGGTACGTACTTAGTTACTACCTGGTACCTATGTAGGTAGCAGACCAATCCCTGGTTCTTTCGGTCAAGTCTCCTCAGATGAATGCCGGTCGTACAGTTTTTAAAACAAGAAAATAATCTCTACAGCTAATAGAAGTCTCTAAAAAGTACTTCCTCGGGACATCATGTAAGTATAAACCCAACCGGACATCTTCCGACTTGTTGACCCGGGCCGCAAGTCAATATCCGACTTGTTTGATTGGTTTTGCCTATACAGACCTAGGCAACTTTTCCCCAACATGCTGCTTTATTTGCTCGACCCGTCTAGTCTTCGTGTTCATCTTACCGCGTCTGAAATGATTGCTGCCCCATGTTCCCGGGATGCGACTTCAATTTGATGACTCGGCATATGGAATTGGTGTTGTGGAGTTGGCTAAAAGGCTTCAACACTTTTGCTGGATAGTCACTTAACTGTCTTAGATTCTCCCACGCCATCTAAATTATCCCAAGTGCTTTTAGCATGGCTACCTAGATTATATAGAAATCTCTTATATGATAGTTATAGTAAAGCATAGTACATTAGATCTTAGAGTAATAGGCGAATACACAATAACACTTATTAACTTCTTTGAGTCTATGATGATAGAAGGCTTAACCGCCCCTCCTTGCGATCCTCGGGTACTAGTGACGATTAATTACCTAGACATCGTGTCTAAGTGAGCACCTTATTGCCTAGGTACCTAAGGTATAGTAGTGGATACCGGAACTATGAGCTAGTTAGATTAGCACTATGTCTAACGCGGTGTACTATCTAACAAGTCGGCTTATTGAATCAGCTACCTACCTAATCACTGTGTTTGAAAAGCTACCTAGGTAGTTATCTATCCATTATAACTAACGGTTGTACTTAAGCCGAGCTACGTGTCGAGCTAAGCCCGCCCGTATACATAACACTTGAAATCTCTTCATGGCCGAAAACGGTCACCGAATCAAGGTAGCAGTCTCTCAAGAAGCCTCGCAGGATGTGATACATAAAACTTGGTAACTACGTGTCCCTTAATGGTTGCGTAAGATATCTATAAATCCGGGGAAGGAGTACGAGAGGGGCACAGGTGTTGCGAGAGGGTTACTATGTAATTGGGCCATGGATGAGATAAAGCGATCTCAGTAGGACTTGTCAGTCGCTAAGATCCTTAGCGTCTTGGAAATTAGAGAAGCCTATGTATGCATACCAACCCTAACATATGGGGGTCCCGAAAAACTTGATGAAAGAAACCATATGTATAGGTGTCGGCGACCCCGGTAGAGGAGGCCGAGAACGGCGATGAATTAACCCTACGGATTTTCTCAATTTTTCAAAAACTTGAAAGGCTTCTCTCTTGTGGCTCCGCTCGGATTAGATTTTTCCTAGTTACACGAGGCCAACTTGACTGATCACTTCTTTCGGTCTTCTTACTGATCTGTCACTAGACAGCATCTGACATCAGATAGCAAAGCGGCAAAGCGGCAAAGCGGCAAAGCGGCAAAGAGGCAAAGAGGCAGAGAGGCAGAGAGGCTGAACTATTGATACTTCCGTAGTGGGTATACTTAAACTTACGGTCTTGGATACTTGAGCGAGTATTATTTTTTTCGAGCCCTTCGCCCTTTACCCTTTGTACGTCGGTATTCTTAATGGCAACCCGTGAAATAAGTAATTCTTGTTCCTGCTTCTGCATGCATGACAACAAGCATTAATATGGGATCGTTGGTTTTATGTTACGACTTTCCTACGAAGAAGCACATGGCACACCTGGCACACATGGCATTGCATCGACTGGATAGTATATCATCAAGACGGGACATGGGGTTATTATGCTTGTTGTGCTAGTATATTGCCATATTCAGGTAGTGCCATCCATACATATGCAGGCCGGCAGACACCATTGGATTTTCAACCCTGTAAAATGCTGCCGACCACAAAGCCGATCATTAACCTGTTCTCCGTCAAACAGACAGCGATTGAAAATGTGGGGGAATGAAGATCGATGAATCGCCTGTTACATCTCCAAGGGGGTATGTAATCCGCCTATGTAGCAAAAAACTAGACGAAAGACGGTTGGGCTATGTAGGTAAGTCCAGGCGAGCTTCCAGCCAATCAGAACCACATATAAGGCGGACGGTTCCGTATTAGGAACTTTTCTCAGACGACGGGATCAGGGGTGTAATGCACGACCAACAGCATTGCAGCTTACAGCTCACAGCTCAAAGCTCAAAGCTCAAAGCTCAAAAGTACCTACATACCTATATAATATAATAACTTCAGCTGGAATCAACAACTTTACAATAACATGTTCAATTGATAGCTTTATAAGACTCACCATATCATTCGTCTTTATGTTTCATAAACGTTCAAGTTTTGTTTGTTAATTAGTTTGTAAATGCTTTTTGCAATATATCATGCTTTACATATACCTAGGACTCGACTCCTCCTCTTCCATTCAAGCACGATACTATAAAATACCCTATGCATTTGCTATGCAGTTACATGCATGTCTTTAGGATCTCAATGTCTTTGTTGCCATTGTGTGTAACCCCAAATATTTTCCATTGGACACCCATAGTAACGGGTCAGCCAGCCATTACAATTTCGAGGCGTCGGCTGACACCTTCTAGAAAGCTTCTAGCGCTCTTCCAGATCACCGCTTCGGTTTGCCAAGCCGCAAATTCTTAGTATCACATGTTGTGCCCACTACGTAGTTTCAGCCAGCCTTTTAACATTAGCCTGCCGATTTCGCTATGTTGTCCAGCCCTATGAAGTCTTGCAAGCTGAGACATTTTACATTGGGGATTACTGTTGGATGTTTTGCCTTACTGACGTCGCTCAAGGATAGCGGTGCACACCACTTAGTACTCGGTATTATACCCTGGGGACAGCCTCACTGTGTGAACTTCGACCGGAGAACGACGCCTCGTCATTTCGAAGATCTTCGAATTTAATAAAAATTGACGTCGCAGTAACTCACGCACCTATCATAATATGTAGTTCCTTGGATGATACCAATACTGCACGGTATGTACATACTCTAGCTCAGACCGATAGACTGATCAGGAAACGTGTAAGCCTTGGGAAAGGTGGAATGAGCTTTGATTTTTTTATTGAATTAACGTTATCAGATCATCAACTGCTGAGAGCAACCCCCCACGTCTAAACGGCTGAGTTAGTGTGGGCGAGCTAGCTTTCCCACTTACGAATATCCAATCGGACGAGACACTATTAAAAGTCTGCCCATCCTCAATGCCGGGGTTCTACTACGTAGTTGGTTTACCCATGATACCCCATTCCTCTCGTGGGGGCATGCTGAACGACTATAGTAGTGTCGCCATCATGTATGTATAGGCTGCCACGGTATTTCGTGCATAATACATTACTTATAAGACCAAACGCGGCTGATTAAGGTACGCCCGAGAA